TTCTGGTAGGGAAACTGTATACTGTTAAAATAAAAAATGATTTTTATAAGGAATCCATAATGTTTCTGCTAGAACTAGTTGGTGAATGAACTCCAGTGTTATTTATAAATACCCCCCTTCTTCCTTTTTATACATATTTATCATTTGCAAAGATATACTGTAAATTACATATATCACAAGCTAAAATTACAAATTTCAAGCTAGACATTAGACAGAACTCTTTAAAAGTTAGGTAAATTACCATGATAAAGGTTGCAATTAAATTCAGCAAGCAGCTTCAAATAGTTTACAAATAATTAGTTAAACTGAAATAAACTTCGTAAAGCTCAGGATCGTTAATGTGCTTTAAAAAACTATTGTATTGTATTTTTTGGCATTCATACTCCCATAGACTGGGAAGGAAAAAAAAGAGAGGTGGTTCTGATAATATCTATTATTAAATATATAGAAGGTGCTAATACAACACAGCATTAGGGATATACATGTATTTAGAGACCAGATTAAAATGTTTTTAATATACTGTGTTTAATGTATTACTTAGATTATGTCACTAGATAACACTAATAAAAATTATTCAATGTAGAACGTGCTCCTGTTTCACACAGTGTTGCAAAGCAAGGCATAGAATGCACTATCTGAACTAATGTGAAATACAGGCAAGAAAAAAAAAGTCCTGCCATGACAATGTCTTAGAGCTTAGGTAAAAATATTAAAATCCATAGATATTTTTCTATTGCAGTTTGGAGAACTATTTTATTTTTAAAATTATTTTAGGGAATCTCCTTAAGGAAAAATCACTGTATTTTAGTAGACTGATGTACTCAATCTCAGAGAGAACTAAGCAATGTAAAAATAAATTAAGAAACAATGCCTTTTCTTTGGTGTTTGATTTAGCAATGCCAGGACTAACAACTTACAACAATAAAGTTCCTCAAATCTTTACAAATATGACTGTGGCATACTATAAGAACCTATTTCACTCATAAATACTGAAAAGAATAGGATGGGAAAAGCTTATCATTCGGAATTTTATACCTTATGAAGAAGACTAGAGGACAACAGATAGACATCAAATGAGCACAGCGTTTCTACTTCACACACTTATCTATGTTCCAGACCACTGTACTAAGGATTAGTAAGGATGGTTTTGTTTATTTTGTCACTATTCAAGGTGAAGTACAATAATGGCAGCAGTTAGGAAGATCAAATAGAGAAATTAATCTCAGGAAAATGAAAGGATGAAACATGACTTCACCTCTCCCTTAGAAAAGGCCATTTTAGAGACTGTTCTTAGTATTTTAGCACAGGCTTACTTGTTTGTAGGCCAGTTCTAATTTTGAATTGTCTTTAAAGATTTTTCAAGGGAATGAGTTTATAGGGATACCCGTGACACAAAAAAACCCAGCAGTTTGAGGGCTAAAATGCCATTTAGCATCATCTGGGTTAACTCACATGGTAGTTTATGAAATAATAATAATACCACTAACGCAGCCATTATAGTAAAAGATTACATTGAAATAATCAGGACTACTTATAGGATACAGACAGACATTTGCAGGGGTGAGGCAGAAGTTAGAGTGAATTAAAAATGGCCACCCGATCTAGGGTAAATTGGGATGGGGATGGGGCAGTGGGGAATCTGGAGGGATCCAGGGGGCAAGCAGGCTCCCTGAGAGGTGGGTGGGACCAGGGGACAAGCTGGGTCAGAAGGGAGGACTGGGGAGGGATCAGTGGGATAAACAGTGCCTGCAGAGGGGATTGGGGAGACCAGGGGGGGTAGCACAGTTTGCTGGGGGGTGCTTGGGAGACTGTGAGAGCAAGTGGGATCTGAGAGAGGTTGGTGGAGTCTGAGAGAGTTTAGTGGAATCAGGGATGATTGGTGGGGTCCTCAGGGGGGCTTGGCAGAATGGAGATGTGCTCCTCTCCTCAGGGGCTATTTTTAGCCTCCCAATCACCCCAGATGAACTCCCCCCCAGTGAACCAACCATTCCACTCCAGCTTACTGCCTCAGCTCCCAGCACCGACTGATAAAATCATCACTTATAGGAGCAGTTTGTGGGATGGGTCATTTGGTGGCCTTGGGGCAAAGGGGGGGGTGGTGGCTGGTTTGGGGGAGGGGCTAGGGGGCTAAAAATGGCCCAGTGCTGGAGGGGAGATATAGAAAAAGTGGAGCCCTGGGACTGGGGCCAACGGCTCGGTTTGCCCAGCCCTGGGGCTGTGCTGGAAACTGTACATAAATTCAATTAGATTGGTTTCACTGGATCTGATCTAAGTTAGACTACCTGAGAGGTACAGTTAACTTAGATTGGGTCAGCCATTTTCAGACTGATGTAAGCTTCCTGAACTCTTGACAGTTCACACTTCTCTCTACCTAACTAGAAATCTAAGTGTAAGATCTATACCTGGGTGAACTAAGTTAGATTGGGTGGCCATTTTTACTGTAATCTAACTTCCCTGAGGCTAGGGACAAACATTTCACAAACTGGTTCAAGTGATCAGAAACCGGTTTAAACCTGAAACGGAACAGACATTCAATACACATTAACTAGTTTCAGGATGACCGAAACTGGTTTGAGATAAACCTGGTTGAATGTAGTATCAGACTCAACTGATTTGGCTCAAACCAGTGTATGCAATGTCTGTCCCAGACCCCTTCCTGGTTTAACTTAAACCAGAGTTCTCCAGCATCCCAGCATGCACTCTGGGCTGGGTAGGGCTCTCTGCTTCAGCCACAGGGCTGACCCCACTCCTCTGCTCTCTAGCCCGAGCAAGGACCAACCAGCCTTAGCAGGGACACTAGCTGGCTTGGCCCCATTAAGGCAAAGTGGGCCACCTTTACCTTAACAAGGCCATGCTGGGACGGACTCTTCCCCCTCCTCTTATCCCCACTCCAGGGTCAGGGGGGCTCTGTGAGGCACTGGAGGAGGACTCCTGCTCCTCCTCCACACCCTGCAGTGGGGGGGAGGGACTCCACGAGGCTGTCCAGCCCCCAGAGGGAGGCTCTTCCCCCTACTCCTTGCCCCCCTGCTGCCGCAGGGCAGGGAGGGGGGCTCTGTTCGGAGCTGGGAGTTGGGGGGTTCTTCCCCCTCCTCCTCTGCTCCTGCTGCTGTGGGATGGGGACTCTGTGAGGTTGTCTGGCCCCAGAGAGGGACTCTTT